CTGTTATTGTTACCCCTGCCTGTTATTGTTACTCCTGCCTGTTATTGTTACTCCTGCCTGTTATTGCTACCCCTGCCTGTTATTGTTACTCCTGCCTGTTATTGTTACTCCTGCCTGTTTATTGTTACCCCTGCCTGTTATTGTTACTCCTGCCTGTTATTGTTACTCCTGCCTGTTATTGTTACTCCTGCCTGTTTTTGTTACTGCTGCTTGTTATTGTTACCCCTGCCTGTTATTGCTACGCCTGCCTGTTATTGTTACTCCTGCCTGTTGTTGTTACCCCTGCTTGTTATTGTTACTCCTGCCTGTTATTGTTACCCCTGCCTGTTATTGTTACTCCTGCCTGTTATTGTTACTCGTGCCTGTTGTTGTTACCCCTGCTTGTTATTGTTACCCCTGCCTGTTATTGTTACTCCTGCCTGTTATTGTTGCTCCTGCCTGTTATTGTTACCCCTGCTTGTTATTGTTACCCCTGCTTGTTATTGTTACCCCTGCTTGTTATTGTTACCCCTGCCTGTTATTGTTACCCCTGCCTGTTATTGTTACCTCTGCCTGTTATTGTTACCCCTGCCTGTTATTGTTACCCCTGCCTGTTATTGTTACTCCTGCCTGTTATTGTTACCCTTGCCTGTTATTGTTACCCCTGCCTGTTATTGTTACTCCTGCCTGTTATTGTTACCCCTGCCTGTTATTGTTACTCCTGCCTGTTATTGTTGCTCCTGCCTGTTGTTGTTACCCCTGCTTGTTGTTGTTACCCCTGCTTGTTATTGTTACCCCTGCCTGTTATTGTTACTCCTGCCTGTTATTGTTGCTCCTGCCTGTTATTGTTACCCTGCTCGTTATTGTTACCCCTGCCTGTTATTGTTACCCCTGCCTGTTATTGTTACCCCTGCTTGTTATTGTTACCCCTGCCTGTTATTGTTACTCCTGCCTGTTATTGTTACCCCTGATACTATAGGCATTACCAGTAGTTTAAATGTTTGACTGGCTCTGTGCGGGCATTAAACGAGCACTACATCCTTTTTGTCTGGGATATCTTTCCTACCTTGAGCGAAGACGTCAACACTTACCAATATTCCAAACGAGAGAGCGCCCACCTAATTTGAACAGTGCTACCACTGGCAATGTCTCTCTTCCTACGTTCTCATTATCTACCCTGTTATTTTTCTGACCTTCGCAGGATTTGTCTTAGTGTTCTAAATGACAGATCAATTGATATTATTATACTCAATTCATTTATACGCTCCCTGCTCCCTTCGTTCAGTAAGATGGTCCTTCCGTATTTTGCATTCGGTGTTTAGCTTTAGAGTTTCATTCTGTAACATCATGTTACTTTCTACTGCCCACTGGAAGACTGTCTTGATATCTGCTTGCAGATTTTCTGACTTCTACAGAGGCAACTTTCATGACAGTTTTGGTATTGTTTGCAAAGAACGATACGAAACTGTTTCTAATGTTATCTATATCTGCTATGAGGATGAGAAACTGTAAATGCACCAGGACCGCCCTCAGGTTCCGAGCTTTTTACTTTGCTAAGGACAGATTTGGCTTCGTTTATTACCACTGTGTAATTTATTCTTGAAAAACTGACTATGCAGACTTTGCTGTTAGGTCTTCTGATTTTATTTTACGAGCTATTACTCCCTGATCTCATTTACCAAGTATCTTCAGCCAGTAGATCAAATCTGCATATTGGTTTACTTCCAAATCCTCCGATTTTGTCATATTTGTTTAGTAGTTGTTATAAACAGGATCTCGACTCTCTAAATTCGTGCTGATTTGGGCGGTGTTTACCTTATATTTACCAGATTTCCACACCAGGGGGTCATCGCCCCCGCGCCCCGGTCCCAGACCAAGCCTCCGGGTTACTGGCCTGATCAACCCAGCTCTTGGTACCGGGCACATGTCTTTCAATAAAATTTCGAATTTGGCGTCTCGCCACCCTTTCAAAGACTTTTATGATGAGTGATGTTCGTCCTACTGATTTTTTTTTTTTACCAGAGCTGTACTCCATCCTTCATGCAGAAGAGAAATATCTACACTTATTACGGCCATTAGATACACTTAAGATATAAGCTCTTTCTCCAAAGAACTCTATATTCTTAGGAGAAAGGCCTGATTTTATTGCATATTTTGATGTTTCGGAACAGTTTAAAGAATTTTCTGACGTACATTATTTTTTAAGCTAAATTGCGGAAATTATCACACTTTTAATATAAATAAAGCAACAGCTGCATTTTATGGAAAAAATCAGAAAAAAAATCGTATTTCTCACTTCAAGTTCAACAATCATGCCGTGGTGTTACATGTGTGAGCCGAGGATCCTGCCACCAAGCGGCAGGTTCCGGAAACTCAGACTTAACAAATGGTAAGGAAGTTCCTTCTGGCCTTAACATTTGCCCGGGGTATGTGTCCAGCTGGCCTGTGGCTGGGCCCCAGCTCAGCAGACATGCCAGCCTCTTCCTGTGCACCGGGCATGGTCATGATTTCCATTTCCTTTTCATATTCTGGGAGATATTACGTCATTTCTGATTTGTAGGATGAACTGATAAAGACTGATTCACAATGCTTAAGAAGGGAGATCCTCCTCTAGGTGAAAGTGTGGGGACTCATAGCCTCCGAGAAGTGAAAGCTATTTGGACATTCTACTTCTCCTAACGCTCTATCTTATATATATATATATATATATATATATATATATATATATATATATATATATATATATATATATATATATATATATATATATAATGTCGTGCCGAATAGGCAGAACTTGCGATCTTGGCTTAAATAGCAACGCTCATCTTGCCATACCTGGAGGTTATACCTGGAGGTTATTCCGGGGATCAACGCCCCCGCGGCCTGGTCCATGACCAGGCCTCTCAAGTGAAAATTTGTGCATGGAATAATTTCGCCAAAATCATTCTGAACCTAACGAAAAAAAATATATTTCACTGTGTTTGTTTAGTATTAAATTATTGTAAGCAAATCTAAAATATATTTAGGTGGGTTAGGCTAAAATAAATTACTCTGGTTATAATAAGGTTAGGTAAGTTTTCTAAGATTCTTTTAGTGCAAAATTATAAATTTTTACATTAACATTAATGAAAAAAATATATCTTTAAACGTATAAGAGAAAATTTTAGAAAGGACTTAATTTTAAATGAGTTCTTGCTAATTGACCAGTTTTACATATTCGGCACGAATATATATATATATATATATATATATATATAAATATATATATATATATATATATATATATATATATATATATATATATATATATATATACATACACACACACACATCCTAGGTAGTAGGTTAGGTTGGTAGACAGCAACCACCCAGGGAGGTACTACCGTCCTGCCGAGTGTGAAACTGAAACCTATAGCTGTTTTACATGATGAAAGGATTACTGGTGTATTTTTACCGTCTCATAAACATGCAGGAAAACAGGTATAACTTATACTTACACTTAGGTCACACTAAACATGCATATATATGGACATATATTTCCACACCCATCTGGGCGACTAAAATACCGGGAGCAAGGAGCTAGTAAACCCTTCTACTGTATAAACTACAAGATGTCAAGGGAAATTGTTTTTCTTTTTAGGTCAACCTGTCTCAGTGGAATATGGCAGGTTTGTTAATATATATATAATGTCGTGCTGAATAGGTAAAACTGGTCATTTAGCAAACACTTTTAAAATTAAGTCCTTTTTAAAATTTTCTCTTATACAAAGACATATATTTTCATTTATATTAATATAAAAATTAATGATTATGTAAAAAAAGAATCTTAGTTAACTTACGTAGCCTCATTATAACAAGCGCATTTTAATTTAGCCTAATCCAACTAAATGCATTTTATGACTCACGAAATCGTAATGACACGATTGCAAACAAACCATATCCCGGCCGGGATTGAATCCGCGGTCAGAGAGTCTCAAAACTCCAGCCCGTCGCGTTAGCCACTAGACCAGCTAGCCACAACGCATTTCATAAAAGTTTGTAACAATTTAATAATAAACACCAGAATGAAATATATTTTTTCCGTTAGGATCAGAATGATTTCTGAGAAATTATTGCATACTCAAATTTTCTCTTGCCCTATTCGGCAAGAAAACCTTGCTATTTAAGCCAAAATCGCAAGTTTTACCTATTCGGCACGAAATATATATACTTTATAATGCAAAATTATATACAGGTATGTAGGACACATTGATACTAGAAGGATGTACAAAATAATAAAAATGAGAGGTACATAAATACATAGGTGACTTTGCGCAAATCTAAATATCAAAAATAAAAGTACAGATCAATGTACACTGCCATAACAACACCAGAAGAGTAACTGGCGCCACTATGAAACCCTCCTCATGTCAAGCATACTAAGAAAAGCGATAAAATTTAAGAGTTTTGGTACAACACTGGTTAAAGGAGGAAGATACAATACCGGTGAAGCAGAGGAAACACGATCACAACTGACAAGAATCTCTGAGACAACTGTCAAGTCTTATTAGAAATTGCAGGAGAAAGTTGCGCGGGGGTTGAGCGCACAACGTGGTTTTCCCTCAGTGACTGACTGATCCTGATGAGAAGACAAGTGAGCAATAGTTCAATAACTTTTTTGTTGAAACGTTTCGCGTACGCGGTAGGCAAAACGTTTCAACAAAAAAGATACTCAACTGCTGCACATGTGTCCGACTCATCAACTTGTGGGTATTTTATATCATTTTCAACACCGTTGACTGATGTATACCAGTGTACCAATGTTGACAACATCAGCTTGGTAAACTGACCACGATGAATTGACATCGAGTGGACGCCAATGATCCAGGTAAATTCATAAACGAAACGTTTAAACAAAAGCTGGTGAATGACAAACCTGAAAAGACTGGGTAACAATAACCAGCAATATAAGTAACCAACCAAGACGTTTAGTAAATTAGTACAACAAGATGATAGACAAAGACGTAATCATGGGTACTCACAGTTTGTAAAGACCGGGGCAGTTGGTGAAGAGGTTGTCAGGAAGGTGCTGCAACCGATTGTTGTCGAGACGTCTGCAAGGAAAAGATTTTTTTTTTTGGTATAGAAGACATAATAATGATGAAGACTCACTGGGAAAGCATCATTATGTATAGAAGTTATATAATAATAATATTCAGGATATGTTTCAAGAACATGTTAAAGCACCAGCTACCGACCACAGTAACCTTTAAGCAGTTTAAGTGTGTGCTCGGGATCATCCTGGTATACTGAGTTGAACCCATGAGACCTGGCAAGAACATGCAGCGACAACTCTATGTAAGACTGAAAAATGTCTACTAAGGCTAAAAGTATCTAGTTGTTAGAATGAAAAGTTTATTTCCTAGGTCCAATAGTTGTGGTGTGCTTTAAGATAACTGAACGTTACAGCAATCTGAGATAAACTGAGCTAAACCGTTTCTTCCCCTGAATTTCTTGGAACGTAGGCGAGGATGGTATATCAAAATTTCATCAGAAAAATCCTGGAGTGCCTAGTCCCAAACCTGAATACTATAACAACTCCATATGAAAACAAATCACTTGGCAGGCGGTGCAAAGTATCTCCAATAAAAAGCAGGGGAGCGACGAGTACACTAAGAGAGAATTCAATGAGTGTCAGAGGTGCCCGACTTACCCACGCCTTGCCTTCGTGCATAAGGGGAAATTGCTAACAAACCCCTCTCCTGTCAGGAAGAAACTTGACAAATTTTAAAATTTCTTTACAAGCTGTCCAACATTCGAACCATGTTGGACAGCACGCAGTCCAACATGGTTCGCATGTTGGACTGCGTGCTGTCAGTAGTAACAGCCTATTAATTAGGCCTTGATCCACCAGGAGGCCTAGTCTGGGGCCGGGAAGCTGGGGCACTAACCACTGAAAGCATTCTTCATGGTCATCTTGTCAGGAGGTGGATGTGAAGGAAACATTCCATGCTTGCACCTTATTAGGAGGCGGGTCCCGTGGGGGCGTCATTACCCCGTGAATTTCTGTATTAAAAATGGTAAGGTTAGGTCGAAAATATGTTTGTGAATTTATAAAAAGAGTTTTAGTGTACCGCCAACATAATTTAACAAAAATTGCTCCTAAACGAAAAACCGACGAACCAAATTATAACTTTGGAATGCCGTATATGGTTTGAAATGCGTAAAAAAAGAAAGCCTTTAAACGATGTGGAACACTGAATAGCCAAAGACTTGGTAGTGGGTACAAGGAAACCTGACAAGTTTGGTAACATGGTATTTTATGGTGACTGAGTTATAAAAAACAGACCAAGATTCACATATGATTATAATAATTATTATTATCATTACTATTTTCAAAAGCAAATGTATATGGTACAACAGAGAGAAAGAGAGAGTGGGAGTGAACACTACAATGTTTTGCGGGACAGCTTGTGCTGTTGATAAACTGGTTGCCAACACGAGGGTCGTGACCTCAACTAAAATTGGAAGAAACTGAGCGATTGTTTACATATTTTTTCAAATGTTTTCTTTAATATTTTGCTATAAATCTACAATGTCTTGCTGGGATTCTCTGTAGATTCCAGTACCATTTGGGTCGCGAGGGCTGGGTGACTACTTCTAACATTTATATATGGACGTGGGATGAGACTAATTCTGTTGTTGTGAAAATGGAGAAATGCTACATTTTTGTCCGGCCCTTTCTCTGGCTGTCTTTCCTCTCTTCTCATGTGACTCCTTAAAAACATTATCAACAGTCACTGATTACCTCAATCTTTGTTTTTCAGCAATAATTATGTCCAATTCGTCGTTGAAAACAACACAATAGTCTACATCGGGAGGCTTTCCTACCTGCCATATCAACCAGGCTGTGATGGATATGTGGCTTGGTTGATCAGGCAAGCACCAGTTGAGCCTGACCCATGGCCGGGCTACGGGAGTAGAAAAACTCTCCAGACTCATCAAAGGTATATCTAGTCTCTTTATCTCCAGATCCTGAACTCTTTCCTCCACCTTCAATATATTTATAACTTTCTGTGCCTTCATTGGTCATGCTTACTCCTTCCTACCACTAAGGTTCATTTCTTAGTTCTGGTATGCCCATAATAAGTGAATTATTCCTGTCAACAAATAACACGATGTTATTCCAAGCATTAATTTGTTTACTAAATTTATCATATAAAAAAACTATCTTATATCTCCAATCTTCTTACCTTCATTCTCCACACACACACACACACACGCCTACGTATTTCCTCCCAATTTGGGTCTATCATTCTTGTCCTTGAAACTCCTATGTATATCTATTTTCACAAAATTTAGTTCTATCTTTTCTAAACTTCTCTATGTCCTCTTTCATCGCTCCCAATCCAAGTACTGTCTTCATTATATATGTCTTCATGTCTCTTACAGCCTGATACACTTCATCAGTAATCTCTGAGTGTTTACTGAATCAAGATTGTCTCCAAGTGCATTGTTATGCTTTCCCGCCTCACTTCTCCCACTCACCATTTCAAGGGTAATATTTTCAATTTTCATCATTGTTAGTGCATGTGAGAGGAAGGGACGGTAGTGTAAGAACACAGGGATACACGGAAGGCTCAGAAACTAGGCGCTCAGAGGATTAAAAGTACGTGCTGTTTTCAGTTTCATCTGTAACAAGCAAATTTACGGTTTTAGCTAAAGCTTTCTGGGTTTTTACTTTCACTAACAAGGCAAACTGCACTAACAAGTTACTGCACAATCTCTATCTTCCTCGGTAAGATAAAAAAAATCAATTTCAATGTTGACAAAATGACTATAATACTGACTGCTTACTTGACATTTAGTTCAGTCACGGTGGAAAGTTCTGTAAACATGTTCACACTTTCTTACCGAGGTTTTAATATTGAGCTGTTTAGTAACTAATTCGACCATCGTGATCCGAACCTTACGTTTGAGCTGGACCAGAAGACGCTTCTAAAGTTACCTCATAGAAACCACTTTCAGAAAGAGTTTATATAAATTGAGCAGAGGACACCTTCACTGGATAACTACTACACGAACCATTAACTATTTAAAAGGACTTGAATAATTTTTAATTAAAAAACAAAATTATTTGAAAATATTATATCTGACTGCTTCCGGAAGCGATCATAGTTAAGAGGAACTAGATATCACTTAGGCCTGAGTGTGACGGGTCGAGGGAGACCCGAGGGTAAGCAACACTGGTGAATACAGAAGAGGAGTCAAGGTGCGAGACTCGGAGTTCTAACTGCAGTCATGTCGACACTTACAAGATCCATTACTCCAGCGGAAGAAATCGCCCGGGTACCAGGCTATCATATTATTGATGGTTTACATTGACAAAATTGAAGAATAAGACACATGGGTCGGAACGTTTCGCCTGAACAGGCTTCTTTAGTCCAATATAACACTTGAGACATTAAATGCAGTAGTTTTAATATGATCAATCAGTCAGCTGTGGTAGATGGTCAGTCCCTCAAACCTAGAGTAGTGGTATGAGGTCAGACTACATATTCGTCTGTATTGAACTGAATCCTAATGTTCAGGCGAAACTTTTCGCCAATAAAAATACTCAATTGTTGGACAAGTGTCGCACCAAGGAGTCTCCAGTCTCTGTAGTGTCAGTGCGGTCTAGGAGAGAATTTTGCTAAATATTTAAAGTGTTGTAGCGAGAGTAGCCATCGTTTAGGTCACTTCTGTCATGTACCAGGATGTTGGTCAGAGCGTTTATAACTAGAAACTTTATTGCAACTCGGTATGTTATCAGCACTGTTAAAAGAAAGCTAAGAAGTAATTATTACCTTCCTCTCATGTTGCACATTTATCAGCAATCATAGTTTACAAGGAAAACCAAAATCATGGCGAAGATTTCCAAGTATTCGAATGGTATGTAAATGTCACATTGAGTCAGTGGATACCTTTATTAACCTTGTCCTTTAATTTACACAGTGGGCTGTAACAAGTCTAGCCACTTTATAAAGCCAGCTTCGTGAGAGAAACGTAGCCGTTAATAAAGATATAATTGCCTCTAAAGCGTCAGTTACTCCACCAGGTTTCCTCCCAGGCTAGTAATCATAAGGGACAAGCATTATCGTACCACCTCAACTAATTCTTCGAGGGTGGTGAACCGATCATATCGTTTCGGCATCACTGTTTCCGCTGCCTCCTCTGTAATCGAATGAAGAAACCTTCTGAGTAGGCTGTGTGGATAAAACTGTATCCACATGTGGGTGAGAGAGAAACAGCGTGACTAGTCAGTGGTTCAAGTCTGACCGAAACGTCGTCATAAGCTTCTCTGCGCAGGTTGTGTGTATTGTTCCAGTCACGGTATTGTGCCTTTTTGTTCTTTCTAAACAGAACGATGTAGAGTAGAGAAGAAAGGAATAAAGTTAAAAAATGAGAGGAAGGAGGATGAGGAAATAGAAGATGCAGATAGATAGATAGATAGATAGATAGATAGAGAGAGAGAGAGAGAGAGAGAGAGAGAGAGAGAGAGAGAGAGAGAGAGAGAGAGAGAGAGAGAGAGAGAGAGAGAGAGAAACAGGAACATAATGGAAGGTGAGTGCATTAGACATGGTTGAACGCACGCGAGGGCGCCGCTGTGAAAGACTTTGAAAATGTGTGTACACCATGTCACTTTGCAGACATGCAGGGTTATAGTGCATGCATGTCAGGGAAGGGAGTGCACATGTCAAGGACAGGAGTACACATGTCAAGGATAGAAGGGAGTGCATATGTTAGGGCCCGGTGGCCTGGTGGCTAAAGCTCCCGCTTCACACACGGAGGGCCCGGGTTCGATTCCCGGCGGGTGGAAACATTTCGACACGTTTCCTTACACCTGTTGTCCTGTTCACCTAGCAGCAAATAGGTACCTGGGTGTTAGTCGACTGGTGTGGGTCGCATCCTGGGGGACAAGATTAAGGACCCCAATGGAAATAAGTTAGACAGTCCTCGATGACGCACTGACTTTCTTGGGTTATCCTGGGTGGCTAACCCTCCGGGGTTAAAAATCCGAACGAAATCTTATCTTATCTTACGAAAAAATATACGAGGACGAGAAATACGACGT